ACCAAAAAAAAAAAAAAAAAAAAAAAAAAAAGAAAGAAATATGGAGAAGGAGAAGGAAAGAAGACGTTCTTCTGAATAGATTGCAGAAATATAAAAAGATGGGAGACTGGGTGACTGTTAACCACAGTTGCTTGCCCTTAGCTCAAAATGCCACGAACTCATAGCCTAGATAAAGATTTATATCAAAACTAATGCCAAGCCATGTCTAGCACGATTAACCGTAGACTCACGCTGGAGACATCTGTCTGATGAAATTCTATTCTCATGTATCGTATCTGATATAATGATTCTAAGAATAATCTGTACCACATGCAAAAACAATACATGGTGTTAAACAATCTTTTCTGTCTAATGCCTCATGCCTAGTAAAGACGCATTCAGATGCAATTCCTTTGAGCTTTGAGTCTTGTGTCTGCCATTGGCCAACTCCTTACCCAAGTATTCCTGAGACCCAGTCCCATCGGTCCCAGGGTTTTGGCTGAGATGGTCCATCGCATGTGTGTGTGTGTGTGTGTGTGTGTGTGTGTGTGTAACTCTTGCTACCTAGCATAATTTGTAGCAGCATTTAGATAGCTCTCACTTCACCCTTACATTTGTTAGGGAAAGTTGAAATGTGGGCTTGGCAGGTTGTTGGAGTCATTCTGGTAAGGACGTTGACCTTACTTCATAGTTTTGTTTTTTTTTCCTGAGGGAACAAAGATAACTAACTGCCTTACTATTCCATTGTGAGGATCAGTGTGATTAGCCAATTGTGATTACTGTAATACTTTAGGGGTTAGGGAGGAGGAAGTTGCTTTGAAGTCTTGTAATGAACAAGTGTACCCCAGTGCTATTTCCTAGTATCGCCAATAGCTTCAGGCCTTATTTAGGCACCTTGCTTAGTCATTTGAAAATTCATTGTTTAATGATGGGTTTCAACATTTAGGTCTCTTGCCTTTGCCTAATATTTACACTGACGATAGTGTGACTATAGCATTGTTTTTCTAAACCCGGTCCTTTCTGTGTTAAAAGGAGACAGGCCACAAACTGCATTTCTAATTGTATAATGCAGAATAGGAAGAATTACTTATGACAGCATATGTTGGCATGTAGACATGATGAATGCTTTTTTTTTTTGACATTTGAACCTCTGCTAGGCTGTAAAGGTTTTTAGAGCAATGTATTTTTTTTAGTGTGTGTGTGTGTGTGTGTGTGTGTGTTTGTGTGTGTGTAACCTACCATTTATCTGGGGTTTACTGTGTGCTTGAGCTCTTGCTGTGTTTTTAATGGGCACCTTAAAGTTACAACACCCAAATGAGTACCCGGCTTTATTACTTGCTCATTGTCTTGTGAGAAAATCAGGATGCGTGCTACATTTAGTTCAAAGCCTCCTACCCTTGTTCCTTGCACCAGTGCAACAGACCCATAGAAGATACTAAATAGTTGCTTTTGAATAACGAGGAATAAGGGCAAGAGCTTGAGGAAGACACAGCATACAAGGAACCGATGAGAACAATACCAGGGATTAGGCTGCAGGATTAGTTCTGCTAGAGACATGGATCTGGTACCAGTGTTGCCCAAGAACTTGGATTAATTGGGAGTGACAGAAGGAAGCTTTCCCTGAAGAAGTGGACTTGGAGATGACAGCTAACTATTGAATTGGAGTTGACTAGAAAATAAAGATTCAATATACATCCCAGGCTGGCAAGAAACAAAAAACAGTTTGATAGGTCTGAATTAAACTTGCAAGAGTGATAGGCAAGCTGGCAGAACTGGGTCCGAGTTATTAAAGGACTGTGGTATAAACTAAACAGTTGGAATTTTATTTTGAAAGCTATCAGAGAACAAGAAACTTCAGAATAATGGCAGGATTGCACTTTTGTTTGGAGAATATTGAACTGGTAAGTGGTGTGGAGAATTGGACGGGGGGGAGGGGGTGAATGATAAGCCCCTACGCTGTTTTCCTTAATCTAGTGAGGAGGTTAAACTAGTGGGGTTGAAGAGTAGGGGATGGATTTGAGAGCATTGAGGACTTCTTGCTGACTGAGGATGACCTTGTTGAGAGCACGACCTCAGGCTTATGGCTTAGACAGATTTTGCTGTTTGGGAAGGTAGAACATGTAGAAGAAACAGATTGGGCAAGAATGCTGTTTGGTTTGGATCTGTTGTGCTCCATGACACGGTTTGTGACTCAGAGGGACAGGGTAGGAAGATTCTAAGTAGACTGGGCACCAAGAAGAATGTTCTCTATGAGAACGCTTAGAGGGGATGGATCCCCGTAAAAAACCAAGCTCATATTCTCGGCAAATTGTCAGTTGATTGCCAGTTTTATGCTGAAAAAAACCTACCCCTGTTTACCTTGCTTATGTCACCAGGCAAAAGCCTTTCCTTAGTTCTGTGTTCCTGAAGGAGAGAATTCAGGCTGACATACTCTTTACGCAACACTTAGCAACAAAACAAACACTACAAGGAGATCGATATTGCAGTAGATTGTCTCAAAGGCAGGGGAAAAGCAGTCCAGTGGGTTATGGATTTTAAAGAATTTTTATGACTATGAGGTTGATGCCATATTCATGGATATGGTCTACTTTTCCTCTCCTAAATCATGGAGGACCAGATGATTCCATAATCATCTTGAAAAATATTTGAGTGTGTGTGTGTGTGGGGGGAGGAATATGGAGGGGTCAAAACCGTAATGAAGTTAGGGTCTTTTGAGGATGTAACCCTCATTAGTTCACTAGTGTGCATATGTGGCAGGCAGTTTGGAAAGTGTCCTCCTGGTACCCTAGTTTTGTTTTGTTTGACAGGGTTTCTCCACGCAGTCCTGGGTGTCCTAGCTCTCACTGTAGACAACACTGGCCTTGAACTCAGAAATCAGCCTGCCTCTGCCTCTTGAGTGCGGGGATTAAAGACATGCATCACAACTGCCCTCCTGTTTAATAAGGTAGAAAGACCCTAACTTCAGCTTCAATGATGCTTGCAATCAATCACAAACGGGGCATTTGACCATCAGGGGACACAGCCTTCAGGTCCTTGGTTCTGTCACGTCTTCCTGCTGCCCAATGAGAGGCACAACCATGAAGACACAGCTTTAGTTTTTTCCTGGCTACCTCATATCTATGCCTTGCCTACACCTTGATCTGACCTTCCAAAAGGACAGGGTTTTGGTTCACTATTGGTTTTTAATAGTGCCTGTACTTTCTACATATGTTTTTCCATTCTTTCTGTTAACAATCTTGTATGCAGTTTTGTTGCTACGGCCCTGCCTTGGGGATTGCTGTGTAGCTGATCATGGTGGTAGCAGATGGGATTTATGAAGATCAGGGGAGTGCTGTTTCTTCTCAGCATTACTCTGGTGGCTGTAAGATATTAATGCGTAAAATTGTCCGAGATTCATCTCATTTATCCTTGCCCCCAGATATTTTTGTTTATTTTACATCCCAACAGTGTTTGCCCTCCCTCATCTCCTCTCCTTCCAGCCCCTCCTCCTACCTCCCCTTCTCCCCCACCCCCACGCAGTCCTCCTCCATTTCTGTTCAGAAAAGTGAGGGCCTCCCATGGCTATCAACCAAACATGGCGTATCAAGTTGCAGTAAAGGCACTCGGCTCCTGTTAAGGCTGGACAGGGCAATCTGGTGTGAGGAATAAGGCCCCAAAATTCCTAGCCCCCAGATAAGTAGTTGAAGATAGATTATTCCAGTTTCAAGACAAAATTGAAATCATGTTTACATTAGTTATTTTTCATGTTGCAAAGACAGAATACCCCAAGTGAATTCAAGGGAGCGGTGATTTATTTTGTTTGAGGTGATTTATTTAGTTTGAGGGCTTGGTCTATCCTGGTTGGGAAGGAGGATGAGGCTGCATCCATTGCATTTGCAACTAGACATAGTGAAAGAAGAAGAGAGATATAGATATGCTGGTCTGTGCTTCTCTTTGGACAGTTTGAGGCCCCAGGCCATGAAATGGTTCTACTCACATTGAGGATGGCCCTTCCCACCTCACTTAACTGAGTCTAGAAACTCCCTCTCAGACAGGCCCAGAAGTGTGTGGTTCTAGATCCTGTCAAGTTGACATTGTTAACCATCAACAATGCTTTAGTAGCCTTTATAAGTTTATCTCTCATCAGCTCTTGTACCAGCATAAGAAAACCTGTTAGCTCTTAGAAAAACAATAGGCTTGTGCACCAGGGATTGGGCACCCGACCAAACAGACCAAACAGTGCAGGGAAATGACTCTCCCCAGCTCCATTTGCCCAAGAAGTGGTCCAGTAGGGACATGTGGGGCCAGGGGTGGGATGGGCTGCGTGTGAACACTGTAGACAGGTATTGATAATTATATTTGTTTTCATATTTTTGAAAACTTTTATTTTTTCAGGCAACCTCTAGGCTTCTAGTAAATTACCCAGAGCCCTTTCGTTCTGAAATACTGGATTATCTCTTTAAGGTAAGGAAAATCAATTATCTACTGGGCTTATGATGTTTTGAAAGTGTATGGCTTTATCAGCTTCCTGTTTTTTTTTTTTTTTTTAGACAGGGTTTCTCTGTAGCTTTGGTGCCTGTCCTGGAACTAGCTCTTGTAGACCAGGCTGGCCTCGAACTCACAGAGATCCGCCTGCCTCTGCCTCCCGAGTGCTGGGATTAAAGGCATGCGCCACCACCACCGGGCTCTTCCTGGTAGTTTTTGTAGACAGTGGCATATTCCGCTTGGAATAAGCTGCTTTTTGCGGTTCTGCGCTTTTCATCTGTGCAGCCAAAGGCCTCTGTGGATGACTGTGTTGAGGCTTTACATGATGGAGCATGGTGATAATACTGATATTTTTCCCCACAGCCAAACTTTGGTGCCTCTTTGCATATTTTAAAAGTGGAAATCGGTGGTGATGGGCAAACGACAGGTAGGAAGATCTGGGAAACAGGATTTCCCCAATTTTAACCTATATGTAAACATGCAGGGCATAAGGAGGGTCAGCTCCTATGAGGTGACTGGTCCTCCACAGACTGTGCTTAACTCGTCTCCCTTCTCATTTTCGGGATACTTGTGCATGCGTGTGTATGCGTGTGTATGCGTGTGTGTGCCTATACATGTTTATGGCTGTGTGCATGTGGAGGTAGGAGGACGACTTGAAGGAGTCAGTTCTTTCCTCCCACTGTGTGGGTCCTGGGACTCTAGCTGAAGTTGTCAGGCTGTGTGATATGCACCTTTACCTGCTGAGCCATTTTGCTGATCTGATATTTCTTATTTTTGTTTTTAAAAATTATGTCAAATGTAAAATTTTCAAGATAGTATTAATACTCTAAATTGCTCAATTGGAAGTTTATGAAAAAGTTATAAGAAAAATTTAATTATGTATAGGACATTAAGATGTTATAAACTCTAAAAATGTATTGTAAAATACAACTTGTATTTTAGAAACACAGAGCTTTCTTTTTTAAAAACAACATATATTAAATAATTAAATCTTCAACCCTCATAATCAAATTTCCTTTTTTTTTTTTTTTCGAGACAGGGTTTCTCTGTGGCTTTGGAGTCTGTCCTGGAACTAGCTCTGTAGACCAGGCTGGTCTCGAACTCACAGAGATCCTCCTGCCTCTGCCTCCCGAGTGCTGGGATTAAAGGCATGCGCGCCACCATTGCCCGGCGCCTCATAATCAAATTTTAAAGTATTTCTGTTCAGTATTTAACTTAATAATTATAGGCTAAGCCCATTAATATTAACTTGAGAATATCTTGTATATATTTGTCTTCCTGCTAGAGATTTCAAAGTAATTTTTTTTAAAAAAAGATGTATTTTGATTTTATGTGTACAAGGGTTATGTTTGTGTTGATATATGTATACTGTGTGCATACCTGGTGCCTGCAGGGGCCAGGCGAGGGAGTTGGATTCCCTGGGACTGGAGTATCAGATGGTTGTGAGCCTTCATGTGGGTGCTGGGAGCCTAGCCCACATTCTCTGGAAGAGCAGCCTTTACAGCTGAGGCATGTCTCTAGCTTGCTGGAAGTCACTTTCTAACAGGTACATCTATTGGAGTTTCAGGACAAAAGCCTTGGCTTCTAGTGTGACAAACTTGGTTTGACCACTTATCAGGGACACAGCATTGGTGATGGACAGGAAGGGCACTCTTACCATCCAGACCACTCTGGAAGATCAGAGAAAGGTCTAGTGAACCACGGCTTGTTGTGAGGGGCTGACAAGGATTTTGAGGCCGTATTGAAATGGGGAACAAAGGCCTGTGTCTGTGGTTTGGCTAGCTAGAGTTCTGCATGGTTGGCAGAGCAGGTAACCTTGGTCAGGCTGTGCAGCCTGATCATTCATTATCTCAGGGCTGGTCCTGCAAAGGTCCTGAGAAGTCTTCCTCCCTTGAGAGGGCAGCTTGATTTCCCTTCTTACCTACTGTGGGAGGCTTGCTGTTGTTTTGGGAGGCAGTCTTAGTCTGATGAGATAAATGTGTGTTTGTGGATCAGAACTGTTCTTAGACTCCAAGATAACTGCAGGACAGAGTAATTAGAACTCCGGAGGGAAAAAGAGAGGCAAAATGAAGTCAGAGATGGAGAAAATGAGAGGGAGGTAGGTCAGCTGCTGGGCCTGCTTTCGGTATTCGTGTAGAATTTATGTGGAAAGAAAAAGGTCCTGCAGAACAGAGGTTTTTCTCAAATAGTGTCTTGTTCAAAGATTAGACAGGGTGCCGGTGCAGACAGGGTGCCCATGCAGACAGGGTGCCGGTGCAGACAAGGTGCCGATGCAGATAAGGTGCTGATGTAGACAGGGTGCTGACGCAGACAGGGTGCCAGTGCACACAGGGTGCCGGTGCAGACAGGGTGCCAGGGCAGACAGGGTGCCGGTGCAGACAGGGTGCTGATGCAGACAGGGTGCCGATGCAGATAAGGTGCTGATGTTGATCGGGTGCATTTGCTGAAGCTAAATTAGAGATAACGACACATACGCACATTCTCATGTTGACATTAAAGCTGAAATGATTCAGAAGTGTCATTCATAGATGGCTCCATTGAGCAACAAGTGGGGTTTGTGGTGCATGAGAGCACGTGAGGACTTGGATGTCAGAGAATGATCTCTGACCTCGGTTTTCCTCTGCCAATTGTGAGTGCTGGCAGGGGACTTTGATATTGTGGTATTCACTTTTCCATAAGGCTAGTAGTCTGATGACATGTTACGCGGTGGAATATAAGAATTGGGGCTCAGGAGTACAGGGATTCATATCCAAAGTTGAGAGTATGAGAGATGATATGGACTTGAAGTTGGACTCGGGAGCTTGAAAACCTCAGAGAGATCAAAAGCTCAGCAGAACGCAGTCCTGGGAATTTGTAAGAATAAGATGTGATAGCTTCTCTCTCAATACTGTTTTTTATGTAACATTGTGGTTTTATTATTTAAGGACCTTACAGTGTTTAAGATAATAAAAAATAGGAAATGATATGCTTTGCACAGCCACCTTCTTATAAAATTTTTATCTTCACAACTTCACAACTAGAATACAAGGAAAGTACCACTTTAAAAATTGTTTGTTTTTGTGTGTGTATAATTGTGTGAGTAGAGTGTGTA